ATAATATATATATATATATATATATATATATATATATATGGATAGAAAGGATGATAACTGTCCAACCAGACGTTTGTTTTAAATGTGACAGCACTTTGCTTAAATGAAAAAGATATTTTCGTTTGTCCATGCACTTCAACCAATAGATATCATTTCATTAATTTTTTTTCACAAACACTTCATTTCGATATTTTAGGTGTTATTCATTAAAAATTATAAAAAACTAACCATCTGGTGCAGAATTTAGTAAGCAAAAGAAGGAAAAAAATTCACAAATATAGAAAGATTAATACTTTCTTTAAAGAATACTGATTTTATTGACTAAGAAAATATAAATGCGGATAATAATAATTGAAGTTCACGATTCAATGCGAATAACGAAAGTACTGTATCTTATGATGTTACAAAATCAAAGGATAAAACGATTATAACTGAAAATTTTCGCCACAAGTTTCGAGTCAAGTAAGTCCAGTTTGCTAAATTCTAACATAAGCAACGGCGATGGTTTTTATTTTGAAAAGGATCCTTAAGATTTTATAGTCAAAGATGTGATCTCTGTAGCAAATAAACTGATAGGTCCTAAAACTCATATGGTCCTTAGGATTCTGAAACAAATCGTTCCTTTAACTCAGAATAGTATATCTGTAAACTTAAAACAGGGCAAATTTCAGAGAGGACGTGATTATGTTATTCATTCTCTTTAAGTAGCGTTTACTGACAACCTTGTTGACTTTTTGCTGATAAAGGTTTACAGATTTTAACAGTACAGGATGCAAAAGGACTTTAAGAGACGACTTTGAGTAAAAAGATAAAGGAACACGAAACTTCTAGAGATCATTTAAATGTATGCGTTGCATGTGTGCAAAAAAAAAAGATATCTTAACAACATTACAAAAGTCAACGATGTATTGCGTGAAAAATTAAAACGAATTTTGGATGTTATAACAACTATGTAAACCTGCAGTCAGACTTTCAATGGACACCGTGAAGACACCCAAAACATCCACAATAAATCAGAAAACTTTTTAAACATTATTGATTTATTATTTAGGTACAATCAATGTCTCTTAAAAGCCATTTAGAAAATGCTCAAAGCTAAATTAAATATATGAGTGTTAGAACTCAAAATGAAGTAAGTAGTGGATAATAAAAACAAAATGAAATAACAACATACTAGAAGTAATAAAAAAATCTCAATTCTTTTCGACTAATGTAGATACTACGAAAAGATTTATCCCAAACTGATCATTGTAAGAAGGCATGTTTCTATTAATAGCAAAGAAAATATAAAAATTGGTGGACCATTCTTAGTCTTTATTTCCCTAAAAAACCAAAAAGCTGAAGATCTAACGGAAAAAAAGTGTGCAGCTCTTTAGGGAGAAAAAAAATAGATATTTTTTTTGGAAAAATGTTAAGGGCAACGCTTTGACGGAGCTGCCGTTATGAAAGGTTTTTATAATGGCTTACAAGTTGAATTGAAAAGCGATATGACAATACCGATCATGTGCATTGTACATCGCATAATCTGAATTTAGTTATGGATGATTCAGTAGGAAATATCACTGATATAGTTGCAATTTATAATTTAATCAACGAAATAAACATCTTTTTTGTGAATGTTTTCCCAGATGGGCTTTATTGGAAGAATGTTTTACTGATTGCATATTTTTAAAGAAAAATATCCTTCATTATTATTGTTTTGTCTTTACACTTTTAATTATTTTCTGTACTACAAACCTACAAGAACAGCTTCAGCAGCCTTTCCGTCTCACTCACTTAAGTTCATTAACAAAACAAAACAATAGCAACAAAATAAGGGCAATAATAAATTTAACGAAAAACGCTTTCGAAATTTAACTTCGTAAGAGGACGAAAAAATACTTGACTTCAAATGCCGCTGACGGATCATAATAAGAAAAATGTGTTGTCCAAATGCTCCTAATGGATAAGCTGGAAAGGCGAAACAACAGTTTCAAGTGTCACATTATAGTAATTTTACTTATAAGAGCACTACACAAGGTGAAGTTGAAGAATCTCCTGTCATTGGTGGTTTATGCAAAATAATATTTACTCTGTACAAAAAAGGTACCCTTAAAGTGGCGCTATATATAGCGCCATATAAGTGGCGCTAAATATTCAAAATAGGCTTCCTTAACTGTTAACTGGTTATAACCAGTTAACAGTTAAGGAAGCATATTTTAGTTGAATTACCATAAAGTACAGAAANCTATATAACCAAAATATGCTTCCTTAACTGTTAACTGGTTATAACCAGTTAACAGTTAAGGAAGCATATTTTGGTTGAGTTACCATAAAGTACAGAAAATTGCAAACATCAAAAAAAAAAAATACGATACAAAAATTTTTGATTTTCTATGAAGAAATTTGTTAGTGCCCAGCACAAAAGATTTCTGAATTTACGCAAATAACAATGAATATGTTGTCCAATACTTAAATAAAGTCTTCATTTCATTTCCAAATGACAAACTATTAACATTTTCACTTGTTAAAAATAAAGTATAGCATTCGTTTTAAGGTTTTATCTGAAAACTGGTCATCTCCAAGGTTTAATTACTTTTATCATCGAAGTTGAGTGACGTTGTCATTCGATATTTCGATAGAATATTCTGTAATCAGTCATATTTTAATATAGAAATTTTTTTTAAAAAAAAAAGCTCTCAAGCTGATACTTAATTATTCAGTTTTTTGTCTCTCCTGTAAAACTAGTTTTGTTGGAGATGACCAGTTTTCGAACTTATTAGTTCAAATAATAATCTATTTTAAATTTTCACAGTTATTTTCATTTTTCTAAATTATTTGGAAGAAGGAAGTGTCAGAGGTTTGGAATTTAAAAAAGTTATCCCTGATGAATTGTTAAAACAGATTTTAAAAAAATTACTAATAATTTTCATTGCTAAACATTTTTTAAAAAATTCATTTTTTTTCCTGACTATTTTTTTTAAATTTTTCAGTTGAAGGAAATGCAAAATGTTAAAGTTAATTGGGAAGGCAAAGGTTGGAGGGATGCCTATTTTGATGAGAGTGGAAGAGTTCACATGATGGAAGATTTTCAGAACACAGCAGACAGATCCATGGAAGATTTCTTCTCTATAAACATATGGAAAACTGTATCCATAGCATTGACCTGCATATTGGCTATGGTTCTTATATGTCTTACATGCGCCTGCTGCCGTCACTATAGGCAAAACTACGAACCCGATGCTACAGCTCAAGTTTCTCCAGTGATTAATTCGCCAGTAACAGAACACCCCGCCCCGGAGAACAGGCGTTGCATAACTACTACTGATATGCAGACTGGATTTCCTGTTGTTGTTGATATTGCTTCCGTTTCTGCACAACTTAGTCAAGCAAGAAGTGAGCCACCATCCACTGAAAATCAACTAATGAGTGATTCGATTCGATCTGCACCTTATGGATCAATGGACTATCATGATTCAGTTTCACCGAGCGCACCACCACCCTCTTATTTAGAAATAGTTCCACACTCAAAATGTAATAAAAAGTAAACACAATAGCATCGTGTAATGACTCGATCATTTCGAGTTTTTCATAGCACAGTAATCAGAGTCTATGACATATTGAATACTTTCATTCATTTACTTATCTGGAACTAGCTTAGTTTCCACAACATGATTTATTCTAGAAATCTAGGAAAAAATACAATGTAAAATTATGTTATTTACAATGAATCTAAGAATCTTATATCTTTCTAAGAATCTTATCTCATGAATGTATATTCCCCTAGTTATTAATTAAGTTATTTTTTTAGTAGTTATTAATTCCCCCTTTCCAACGAGACCAGGAACATGCACTATTGATGTGCACGATCCCCTGTTGAACGATTGTGCATATTCGTGAAAGGAATTCATACAAATTAAATTGCATGAATTTATAGAAAATCCCATAATCATTGTACTTTTTCCTTGTTTACAAAATCATTTTTTTTTTGTTCTTCGTAAAAGGGAAAAACTTTTATATAATTTTTTAAATTCTCTATTTTGCTGCAATGGCGAGATTTAGCCTTTCACTTATCATTCCGCATATTCACGGACGTATACATTAAAAAAACGGAGGAGGAGGCGTAGTTTGAGGAGTGCTTGTGTCATGTGCTATCAGTTCAGCAGAGTGCGGAGAACGTGCGGAGATGATACGTGAAAGTTCTAGAACTAGTTTTAGAGAGTTTCTCTTTTACTGAGATATTTAACACTCATTCGGTGCAAATTGCATGTTCACGCACGAATGTTTTCTCAGCGCAATTACTACAGAATCTCCGTGTTGGAAACATTTTATGCGCTATGCAAATTATCTGCTAAATCAACAGTTCTTAGAAAGTTATCTTTCGCAAAGTGGCACCATCTTTAAATGGTGTTATAAAAAGCAGTTTGATGAAGAAAGTAAGAAATCTGTCTGGTAGAAGGAGGAATGCAGTGGGGACTGTGGGTTCGTTCCAGNAAAGTTAAAAACGGGGGTAGAGAGTTTCTCTTTCATTGAGATATTTAACACTTATTCGGTGCAAATTGCATGTTCACGCACGCGTGTTTTCTCAGCGCAATTACTACAGAATCTCCGTGTTGGAAACATTTTATGCGCTATGCAAATTATCTGCTAAATCAACAGTTCTTAGAAAGTTATCTTTCGCAAAGTGGCACCATCTTTAAATGGTGTTATAAAAAGCAGTTTGGTGAAGAAAGTAAGAAATCAGTCTGGTAGAAGGAGGAATGCAGTGGTGACTGTGGGTTCGTTCCAGGTTTCAGCGAGTTTAATTCACTATAATGCCGATGTTTAGTTGTAATCTACAACTGTTATGTTTTTATTTAACGACACAGTAAGCTGCATATTTTATACAATAAAAACTGTTTTTGTTCGTTAGGCTTAGTCATGTCTTAGACTCTACACAGAAAGAACACACCACAGAACTTGCGTGGCACATACATACGAAAACATGTAAGATTTCTACGTGAAATTGCGAAATTTCTCTAACATTTCTATATGAGTATGCGACATAATGACAGGGTAAAGTAAATTCCAAAGACATTTACAAAGTGACGGCTTTATTAATTAGCCTACGACAAATATATGTATATAATTTTTTGGAAATGATTGCAAATGAAGATGTTAATAGAAGAACATTTATTCACATCCAAGTAATATTTTTTTTTAATAATTGAGGTTTCTGTGGGGAAAAAAATTCTTTAGTTTTATGTAATTAACTATACAATATGCCGATTAAAACATATCATAAAATTTTTAAGATCTCATTGGATGAAGGTACTAGTAGTAGATGTCAGTCTGAGTATTGGGTAATGAACTATCAACAACAACCATGGAAAACTTTTTTTTTGAGGCGCTAAGAGTGTGGATGCTAAGATGCAAACAGAGTTTAATTGAGTGTTGGGGATACAGATTCTGTAAGTCGTAGCCTTGGGTAAAAAATAAAGAAGCATCAAATAATAGTAAGTAATAATCAAATAAATAAAAAGCATCAAATAATAGTAAGTAATTATCAAATAAATAAAGAAGCATCAAATAATAGTAAGTAATAATCAAATAAATAAAGAAGCATCAAATAAAAGAGCAATAAAGAAGTTCTTATTTTTTTAAATAAAAAAGCAGAGTCTTAAAAATGATTACCGTTAACCCTTTTGCACAGACAGTCACAAATACCCGCCAGTATGAAACGCTATCAATCAGGGTAAAAAGATAAAGCTGGCAACCAGACTAATTCTTTAGCAGTTTATTAATGGGCGGGGTTATAATAGTTTGATTTATTTAATTCATCACTGCTTAGTTCAAAATAAAAATTATATTATTACACTTTGAACTAACAATGATTAGATATGTGGTTAGACTAATATTGATTAAAGTGAAAGCAAAATAAGAGTCTGCTTAAATTAGCTATGACCACATTTAAGGTACTGCTATTTATTCCCCCCATCCTGATTTAATACGAATATTTTTATGAATCACTCGTCCCGAATAGGTTAAACGTTACATGGAAGAAAATGGAAGGGGGGGGGGAGGAGAGCAAGGCAGCTAGGATCAGCCATACAAGGATCGGGTATTTATTTCAAGGATTGATTTAACTCTTGAAAATACTATGTAATTTACGTAATGCACACCTGTACTCGAAACAATTTCTTTTTAATTAGGAATAAAATATTTAGAAACCATTTTTTAACTCCTCTTTCAGAATGTTCTTTCATTCAACAGTTTTCTTAATGCTTAAACCTTGTTCTTTTAGTAAATTGTTAGGTTTTTGAGATAGAAGTGGAGATGAATCATTCCATTATGCATTTCGGACAAATCTTATGTAGACTTTCGGTTTACGAAACTACCAGCGATGCTTAAATTTGGTAATCTACTGGGAACTATGATTTAAGATCAGTCCACTATGGGACTAAAAGTGGCTTGATTTGTTTGCCACAAAGAGAATCGATATAGTATCCGTGATTACCACAGCTAATAATAAATAAAAGACACATTTATAGAGAGAAAAAAAAAGCTAATTCCTTAGGTTCCAAAAATTTGTAAATTTAGCTTCTAATTTAAGAGAATCAAGATAAAATTTTTCAAGTACTATTACTTTTAAAAGCAATAGTCATGATCTCTCAGAAAATAATTATGATCTCTGTCCTGTAATTTATAGTGAAAAATCCATAAATGTATGTGTAGATACAATGTATGATACTTATGTATGATACTTATAAAAACTTATGTATGATAACTTATGTATGATACTTGTATGATACTTATAAAAAGATTGACGATTTCGTCTGTTCAATGTTTTATTAAGACCGAAACAAGACAGAATAATTCACTAAAAGTAAAATAGGACAAATATATCTGATAGATCAGCGAATTGGAGGATACTTTTCTAATCATAACTACGAATATTTTATATATTAATGTTTAAGTTCAAAATCAATGTCAATAAGTCTTATTAACTTCCCTTTGGCATGTAGTTATACTTACATACTTAGTCTGTCTTTTACAGTTACAAAAATGGATAAAATAAATTAATAAATTTTGATTCATGATTTTTAACAAAATAAAAAATATGTTAAAGATCATAAAGCTTAGTAACCTATTGTAAAATTATATTTCACGTTCTTCCTACTAATGAATTTCTTTGACTATATTATATTATCCAGCAACGAAACGAGGTTTGATCTTACATCAAGACATTGCAACTAGAAGCAGAAAGAGCTTCAAACGAAATAAACAATACGAAGATTAAAAAAGGGACCAAAACGTATGCAGATGTTGCTAAGACAGTACTCTTGTTCACAAGGCTAAGCCTGACGACGATGTTATTTTGAGACCCAAAGAAACTGGTTCCTCTGAAAGGACTGAAAAGTTCCTCAAGCAAAACATCAAGCCCTCGGAGCTTTGCTTAGGTGTTAAGAGACTAAAAAAAAGTTAAAAACGGGGGAGTTCTGATCCGAATGGAATCCAAACGCGACGTTAGAAAACTAACTAAGGGTTTTGAGAGTCAGGGTTTAGACGAGAAGTACTTTTGTGAAAAGCCTACTAAGAAGTCGCCAAGGATAATGCTCTTTCACGTAGAGTCCGAAATATCGAAGGAAGAGCTTGAAACAAGACTCCGAGAACAAAATGAAGAACTGAAGAATAAAAAATGGAAGTAGTCTTTCCCATAAGGACAAAAAAAAGAAAACCATAGAGTCGTGAGGGTCGACTCGAAAACTTCCAATAGAATTTTTAAGAAGTCTAGCGTCAAACTTGGTTGGAAAATTCACGTGGTGAATGAATACCTAAGAGCACTGAGGTGCTATAAGTATAATCATTTCGGCCTCATGGCCAAAGATAGTCGTAATGAGGAAGTTTGTGCATACTGCGGTCAAACTTGTCACAATACGAGCGACTGCTCTTATAAAAGTAAATGTGTGAATTGCACAGTTGCCAATCAGAAGTTGAGTTTAAATCTGAATGTAAATCACTCAGCGCTAAAAAGAACGTGCCCATCAAACCGAAGATAACTAGACAGACTCAGACGAAAGATTCAATGCTAAGATTAACTGCTTTGCTGTCCCGTGTTTTTGTGAGCCAGTCCTTGCAGCCCGAGCTCTTTTTGTGTAATCTTTCTTTAACTATTTGCTGCTTTTTAAAGCATGTTTCTTCCATTTGTTAAGTATACTTTGTAAACCATTCAAGTCGATTGGTTGTCGGTAAATTTCTGTAAATACTATTAAAGCTAATGTTCGAAATGCCTTTTCGAACATAGCTTTAATAGTATTACTCCTATTTTATCCGTCGTCACGTATTGCTGTTTATCAAGCGTGACGCGGGGTACCTGTGCAGCGTGCCGTTGGGTCACCGTGTTGACTACTTCAAGGTTTCCAGTACGACGTTTCACCTGCATTCCCTTGGATGCACGTTACTGGGGCCGGGTCAGAATTAAGCTACGCTTATATTATCCAGCAGATGTACAACTGAGGTTTCCAACCCGTGAGTCACATCACAAATAGCGTGGTACTGGGCAGCTGCCGAGTTTGGTAGCGATTTTCCAATCAAGCGGCGTTTAGCGATCCGCTCTCCCGTTTTGCATTTTCATAAATAAAAAACTTAATGTTTTTTTTTTTTTGTTTAGGTTACAAATTTTGAATTAAAAAAGCTTGCATTGTAATTATGACCAACTACTACCAAGAGAAATATCTCCAAAAAAGAGATCAAGTCGTTAAAGTTTGCTGGACTGTAAATTTGCAGCCCGGTACCCAGCATCTTATGATAATTGTTTTCTTTTTTTATCTAAAATACTGTGTAGAGTAGAGAAGTGCATCCTAACGAGAATCACATTTTGGAGATTTCCTGTTTTTTAATTTTTGCGCTTGAATGTATATATATATATATATATATATATATACATTCATTCACTTGAACTTTTAAAATGTATAAGTTTTACCATATATTATAAAAAGCAGCATATCTCAAACAGAGAGCTGAAAAATTACAAAAGACAAAATGTATAATAATCACTATACTGCTGCCATCTAGCAAATAATAAAGTTTACATCAGGAGTATTAAATGATAAGAATATCCTTCATGGAACCATGTCATAGAAATAAATATTTATTGGATATTTCTGAAATTACTAATTGAATATTTCTGAAATTATTAATCTCATTTTGCTGAATTATTTATTTTTAATAATAAGCTGTATCTTTATTTAAGTCTATCTTTTTAAATTCATCAATAAAAGAGCAGACCTGACAATAACTCCGAATATAATTTTAGCAGCAATCAATTACGACCTTTATTGATAAGATTTTGAAGAATTATTACTTAATATTTTCAACTTTTTAAAATAATTACCTTCTGGCTATGAATTATTTATTATCAATTTAAAATAAACGTAAAAGGTTGTGATGCTGCCATCTATTGTATATTTGTAATACTAAATAATGGTGC